GACACTCTTTCCTCATAAAAAGGCAGCAGAGGAGACAGAAGCTCTGCCATGCCTAAGACCTCACTGGAGGATGGCTTGACAAGATACCCTTTTTCCTAGCATTTCTTCCCTGTGATTTATCTTTCAGGGCTCCTTTGCTGAGATAGTGTTTTAGATTGTGTCTAGAGCTAAAGTTTACTCTACAGGTAGCCCAGCACCCTGGATTATGTTTTCTCCATGGTTTAAAACTCCAATTGGATAGACTATTTCTACTTTTCGTGGTTTCATTTCAAGATTCAAGGAAGATACCAATTAACCACAATCAGCTAAGTTATCTGATAGGTAATTTTCACAGTTCTATGAATGAGCATAGGACAATTGTAAGAAACAAAATTGTTGTGCTAGATGGGGCCTTAGCTGACTGATCTGTAATATTGGGCTCTCCATCGCCCTTTCACCGTATGTAACTCTTAGGATGGTGCTAAAACACCATAGAAATTGCTCTGTATTATAGGATTTTAGGAGGTTCATTGTTATGGGATGTCAACTGTAGGGTTCCATGATTCCAAGGCAAGAGTAGTTTCAGCTTTTCTCCCAGGATGAAATTGTAATCAAGGCTCATAATAGAGACTTAATGTTAATCCCAAAGATGGGAGAAGAGCGACCACTGACCTAAATCATCATGGCCAAATTAAAGGAAGTAGTTAATTAAAGCAAGCTTTTTCATCCATGCACACAGGCTGCCTCCACCTACTGTGGGGGTTTGAGTGGTCAGCATTGGATACAAGGAAGTCAAGATTTTTATAGCTCAGGGGGGTACGGGGTTTCCACATGGGGGATTGGATGGGCAAAATACTCGGGGTTACAGGAGCAGATCATAAGCATAACACGGTAGTCCTAACACAGGGTCCGGAATCAAGGACACGGTTGCAAGGTGGGCATGACAAGGTAGCCATAACAGCAGGCATCACAGGAAGGTCTTCATACAACCTTATGAAACAAAGGTAGGATTACAAGATGCTTACTAACATTTTTTATGCAAAGACATGATTGCCATTCCTGAAACAGACAGTACAAAATAATTTGTAGTTTAGGTTACAAGATGGGCACAGCCTAATCCTTGAGAAACAGTTTTAATCATAAGCAGAAATGAACCTAGTTCATATTTAATATAAGATGACTTTTAAGCCTAAGATGGAGGAAGGCTGGTTCTCTTCAATATGACTTCCCTGGTGTAGTGTTTTGCAGTTCTCTGAAAACTTTTAGCCAACTCTTAACAAAGCACTGCAAACATTACTAGAGAAATCAGGATGCCACCAGTGGGTATACAGCCTTTAGTTTTACCTCAAACATTTTAGGAAGGAAGCTACCATTTTGTGAATTCTCAAGTCCATGTGGCATCTATTCAGGAAATGCCCAAAGTCACAGCTTCAGTGGGACGCTGGCTCTCAAATGTTCTGTCTCATACCCAGATTGCATGCCCCCTGCAGATAGCTGTGGGGAGGAGACAGTGTAAAACCAAAGGGCACAGGCTATCAAGCAATGGCAGTGAAAAGGGAGTGCAGGTTAAATGGCCTGAGATGCTCAGAAGATTCCAGAAGTTGCGTTCTCCCGAGAGAATTTATAGTTCATGCCAAAGCTG